AGCGATTTTGGTCAGTATCATTGGTTTTCATCTGAGTACACGCAGGCAGTGATAATTTGTGTTACGCAATGGTATTTGTTACTTTTTCCGACCGCTTGCTGTTGCCAAATGTAACAATAACTCAGGATGTGTTGATTTTATTACCATCGGTGGAAATCAAAGGTAATTCTAAAATAAATTGAAACACTAAGTCGCATCAAAATTGAAATAAATAACTCTTAATCAAAATGAAGACAAAATCGGGCAGATCTCCTTCTTGGGTTTGACAGAAACCGAACCTATTGTAGAAGCCTGTACAAACATTTTCTGGTGTAACATAGTGGCAACGCGGCAGATTGCACGACTTTCTGCCTCACCGTCGCTAGGCAATTTGATGATGACCTTTCTCTGTATGTAAACGACATATGGATATTTCTGAAACACCGATGTTTACCATTTACCATCTTTGCACGCATTATTATAGTTTTCCACAGAATATTAAGTGCGTAGTCATCAAAATCTTGTACAAAAATGTACTTTGCTTCGGCTTGGTGTTAAATGAAGAGCCGGGTGGGAGAGCATTTAGCCACTGTTGATGATAACAGGAGGTGGGAGGAGTGTAGGGATATGTGAACGTAATTTTTAGATTTATTCAACACATTTCCACATATCAACATCTGTCACTAATAGAGCTCATTCGCAAATTATCGTGCATGATGTCCAGTTATAAATTGACCCTCTCTTACCTTTTTATATGATCATCTATACTATAACTATCTAAAACTGTAATGACTCATCGATGTTCACGTGAACATCACTTAACTACCAGTAGTCGGCTGTTCATAGGCGGGGTATGAATGTTTAACATGGGTGAACTAGATTTGTCACATGCTTAATAAAGAGTGGTTTGAAACATATTGTAAGTCAAAAATTTGGGAGTTACCTTTATTCATAGTCGCTTCCACTTACATCTGACAGTAATAAACTGTCGCTATCGCTTTCCTCGTTGAAATTGACTATAACTGGCTCTATGATGGTGTCGATGTGGTGGTCAAGCTGCCACATTTTTGTTTCTTCCTCCACAACATGACGGATAGCATTCTGCCAAGCTCCGGGCGTTACTAGCTGTATGGAAGTCTCAAGTAAAACCTTAACGTCAGGTAATTTGAAGGTTATGTTCTGGCGCGCAATATAACCCTTCACTTGAGCCCAGATGAGCTCTATTGGGTTCAGTTCACAGTGGTAGGGCGGTAACCGCAGCACAGTGACACCACATTGACGGGCCATCTCATCAGTCACGTAACTAAAGTTCGCAGGTTTGTGCTGTTTAATTTTTTCATACAATTCCGCTTTCACACATGAATCGTCAAACGGGATTTCTTTTTCGCGCAACCATTGCTGCATGTCACTTTTTCGAGATCCCATAGTCGGTACACGTTCGGCTCGACGACTATGGTAGGAAGCATTATCCATGTCGATCACAGAGTTGGGCTCAACTCGCTGAAGCACCCCTTGAAACCAGCTCTCGAAGCAGCTGGCATTCATTTCGTCATGGTAATCACCTCCTTTCTTAGAGACGAAAATCAAGTCACACTCTTCTAAAAAGCCACTATCGCTACCAATTTGAGTTACGATCAATCTTTGACCTTTCCCTGACGGTCCACGAAGACCTGTTGACAAACCTTCAATGCTTGCTTGTCGGTTACTCACTACGTTTTTGTCTATCCAGGTTTTTTTAACTGTGTGACCTGCATTTACCCATGTCTCGTCCAAATAATAGATTTTTCTGCTTTGTCGCCTATATTCAATCATTTCGCGTAGGTATTTTCGACGCCAGGCGACTATTTCAGGTCTCTCTATCAATACTGACTTCCGATTACGCGTTTCGTAACGAAAATTAATTTCGTGCAGGAATTTCCTCATTACCTCGACGCTCATTTGGGGTATAATTTCATTTCCTTGATCGCTGCATGTACAGCCTTGAGGGTTGGTATCTCATTCCTAAAGAAGAATGAATGTACGGTTCGCCTTAACGCCATTTTGCTATCGTCATCCAATTTAACGGCCTTTCGTCCCTTCAAATTAAACTTTGGATCAGTAGTAGCTCCAGTTTTCTTCTTTTCATGCACCACCCTGCGAATGGTCCACTCTGGAACGCCTGTCATACTTTCACAACGCGCGAGTGCATCTCCCTGCGACATAGTTCTGTTCAGATAATTGAACACGTTGAGCACGATTTCTTTCGCGTCCCTCTTCAGTGCTTTACGAAGCCCTCTACTTGTTCCCTGGCTTTCAGTACTTCCACTCGTACCATTTGTACTCTCCGTGGTTAAGTATAACCAAAACAGTAACCACAGAAACCACAACAATAACAATCACACAACAATTCTTATAAAAACACACAATATGCGATCGCTCAACGAAACACGTTCCAATGCGTTGCCGACGCCTATGAGTCTGCCGGTCGAGGCGCGTCTTTGATTTCATTGGTTCTACCGGCGGAGAACAATCAGCCATTATTTCCATCTCTGTCTGTGCTGTTGACCACCGCAAAGCCACAGAAACGACATATGTCGTACGCTATACGGCTGTACTGGAAGGAAGTCGGGATCGAGCTCTGATCACGTGTTGATCACGCGTATGAGTCATTACAGTTTTAAATAGTTGTAGTATAGAAGAGAAAGTTGTATATAAAATTTATAGGGTCTAATATGAAGTTGTTTGTGTAATACTTATTTGTATACCGAGTGTCTCAGAAAAGTGATGTTGTAGGAACACCCTGTTAAGTGTCCAATTTTCAAAATTGTTCAGATTCAAAATTTCCAGTTTTGAAAATTTTGGACATATGGATTTTCAGAGTTTTAAAATCACTGAAATTAAAAAAAATTCAGCTTTCCAGATTTTTAAAATTTTCTAATTTTTCAATTTGAATATGGGTTAATTGGTCGAGCCCGTTTAATATCTCTGTTATACATGTTCATCGCTAACTTTTGTTTCAGACCCTCTGTTTGTTTTTAACAACAGGAGACTAAAATAGAAATTCTTAGTAGGATGTCCCAGAAAAAAATTCTCAATTTTTTAACAAAATTTGCAATTGCATTATTATAAAAAAGGCTTATAGGCCTAATTGGTTCTATAGTCATTCTGATTCTATCCAACACAGCTTATTTGGCGTTTATGTTTTTATAGGCATTGCTTTTCAGTATATTTGTATAAACAACTCATACTCTGTTAGTAGTATGTCACACACACACTCTGCTCTTTTGACCATGATGTCTTTTAAATGTTTCAATCTACAAGTAGAATAGCATACAGCATTAGCAGGGGAGTTTCGCGAAATTGATGAACACAACAACGGTTGATAGTGCTTGTTAGAAAAAATTTCATTGTGAATGAACGCGACATGATACTTTCTTTGTCCCCTTTCATCAAACAAATTATGGTTTAAATGAACCCATAACTGGTCTTTTTAGGTTAGGTAATCGATATATATCTATACCCTATATCATATAGATCTATACCCTATTTCACGAGTATCCATCACGTTTTGACGTCTATTGATGTGGACAGCTGATCAGCAAGTGACATTTTTGTGTTAGACTGCAACTGCAGGAAAGTAAGCATGTCCTAAAACGCCGCCGGCATCATCTAATGTAAATGGACATTCATCATTACCCATGCAGTTTGCTCTGAAATGATGAATCTTGCTAACCATGGTTATAGTAATATCAGGAGGATCTTGAGTGGGATTGGTAACCATTGTGAATGTTAAGTTTGAAACATTTTGCCACATCTGAAAAGCCATTTCTGCATCTTTTAGGCCATCACTTGTTCGTTGAGGGAAATACAATTTCAAGGCATGTTTCCGAAATGGAAAACTTGCTCTAAATTCGGCATCACTGTGTTGACAACGCGGACGACGCATCAATTCAATTGTTGCATTATTCAACAATCCATCAACCGGTAAATTATACTTTTCTTGAAAGTTAATCAGCAGCGTAGAGAGATCGGTTCTATTATCGATAATATGTTCATATTTCTTCAGATATACAATAGCATCGGTTTCGGAGAAATCGTCGTCGTCCGCATACACACATGTGAAGGTTAGCATAAAAACTAATACGTCTACCCTAATCAACATCTTGATTGAGAATGAAAATATTAAATAGCAAAATAGCCCCGCTCCCTCACCAACCTCCCGCACACACACACACACCGCCATCTTTTTTTAACGCTCCCAACCTTTTGACTCACCCTGTATACAACCTTATTGACTCCCCCTGTATACACTACACCTCACCTTATCGGCCACACATCCGCATGCGAACGCCGTCGCGCCGATAACGCGAACCTGCAACCGTCCGTACACCGCCATCTTTTTTTAACGCTCCCAACCTTTTGACTCACCCTGTATACAACCTTCTTGACTCCCCCTGTATACACTACACCTCACCTTATCGGCCACACATCCGCATGCGTACGCCGTCGCGCCGATAACGCGAACCTGCAACCGTCCATCGGCTGTTTTATCTCACTTCCGGTCTGGAGTGCCGTTAGCTCTACTACTGTTGGCGATAATGAATCGGGTGTAAATCTAGTAAAACTTGTCTGTAGCGTTTTATTTTTGCATGCAAATGAACTTTTATAAAAGAGTTTTTAGCAAGTACAAAGTGAATCTGTAGCGTACAAAAGACCAAAACAAAATATGGCTCGGATCCGTCAAAATTATGTGTCCTTTGCCGATATGGCAAATTTTCGAATATTACTAGATAATCAGCTGACATTCTTCCGTAATGGATACTCGTGAACAATACTATAGTTCAGAAGTATTTGGAACTTCTGTCTGTGTGTTTAAATTTGTGTTAAGAACATTACAATGTCATTCTTTAATCAAGACTGTTTTTTATATGTAACGAGGGTTTTATCCGTTGATTAAATAAATAAATAAAATGACTGTCAGATAACCTCTCGAGGTTAGAAGATTCCGATTTTGTTGCTAGAAGTAGAAAGACTACTCTTATCTTGGGTAGATAATTTATTACCATAAAAGTATAAAATGTATTTGTTTAAATTATAATTTGCCCAAAGTTATCAAAATGTCATACCGGAAAGTTAGCAATAGAACATTTGTTATAATTTCCAAATTAAAATATAATTTTTAAGATACTAGATCTGTAGTATATATCTCAAAAATATGTGTATGATACGTTGGCGCTTTGAAGGTAATTTTTTATCCGTCACCTTTGGTTATTCTCAATAAAATACCTAACAATAAATACTGATTTTAATCATAACAACATACTAAAGGGTATGAAGAAACATTGGGAGACGCTAGATCCTCATCTCTCTATGTGATATACAGGGTGTTTCAGAAAGACGTGCCAATATTTCTAGGGTAGAAAGTACATAAAAAAATAACAAAAAAGTCTCTATAAATAAAGATGCTTCCCTACCGAGATACAAGGCGATGAAGTATTATTTACGGAATTTAAAAGAAAACTACGGAGCGGGTAAAGAGTTCACGTTCACTGAGCACATCATCAGCAATAAGCACACAGAGCTTCCTGGCTCAAACTAAACCAGGAACGTAAACACTGGGATACCTGGACCCCTAGTAAGAAATATTTTTTAAGCCGCTGGCCCTTTTATAAAACACCATTCAATTTTAAATAAATTTAGTCTCTTAAGGAATTTTTGTCAGATCATTCGTTTTGGAGATATTTCGGTTTGAATATTTGCTGTAACATTCTAAGATATTCTTATGCCTGACAAATGTAATTATAGAATATATTATACAAAAGACAGTACATGATTGTTAAAATACAGGGTGGCGCATCGAAAACGAAACAGACGCATTTACTGGCAGCTCAGTTCTTTTTTTTTGAAAAACGCTCAGACCCGTCGATTTTGTTTTCGAGAGGGACACAAGGCAAAAAATCACGTTAACACGTGCAGCTCCCTGGGCGGGGGTGACACCAACCCTAAAATCTGAAATGGAAAGGGGGGTCGAATGATACCTTATTTTAAAGGTCTTTCAATTCCCTTTATAATGATGTAAATACATGAGCTTCAGTTCAGTAGTTTTGAAGATTTATTGGTTTAAAGCGTAAAGGTTTAAGCGTAAAGCGTTTAATAGGTACATCAGAACTTTCAGAAGAAATTTGACTAAAAGAATTTACTTAATAAGTAAATGCTTTTCTTCACTACGCCTATGGTTTTTTTTTATCATTTTGTTGTTGAAAATAGCTATGGAGCATTTTTTTGTGACAAAAAACTTATTTCTTGAAGAAAGGTAAGGAAATATCTCGTACTTATTTTAAATAGGAATTTAGTACATAGTTTGCGATTGATTTGACCAAACTTTGTTGCTAAAATAACTTGTAACGCTTTATTACATAAATTAACCATGGTATATTCCACAGCAGAAAGTGTTGAAATTATCGAAATATTTTTCGGAAATAATCAGTGCGCTAATAGAACAGCAGAAATATTTAATGAGCGACATGAGAACAGTAACGTGCATCAAAAATATGTTCTAGAACTTGTAGCTAAATTTCGGGAAACTGGGTCAGGCGCCAATAAAAAAAGCAACATTGAAAATCCCATAAGGAGCAATAGAAGTGGGGGTTTTAGGGCAAGTTTATGTAGATCCTACGTTAAGTACCCGCAAATTGGAGACTGTGAGTGGTGTTATTAGACGTACTGTCCAACGGATTCTAAAGGACCATAGTTTTCATCCGTATAAAATTCACATGGTACAAGAACTTAATGAAGACGACTTTGATCGGCGATTACAATTTTGTGAAGATATGAGTGAACGAATTATAAACGATGAACATTTTCTATTCAACACTTGCTTTTCCGACGAATGTTCCTTTTTCTTAAATGGCTTAGTAAATCATCATAACTGCCGATATTGGTCCGATTCTAATCCCAGAATTTATCATGAGGTTCATACACAGCAGCCACAAAAACTAAATGTTTGCGCTCGTATTTTTGGCGATCATTTAGTTGGTCCTTTTTTCTTACCTGGAAATTTGACCGGTGAAATGTATTTGGAATTACTGGAAGACGCCATAGATCCTGCATTAACAGCCATAATTGAAAATCGGAATGATCGGCGGTACATTGCGAATAGGTTGATGTTCCAACAGGATGGTGCCCCACCACATTACGCCCCAACTAGCAAAGTAGTGGTATAAGCTTTTGGTAAAAGAACCGTTCAGCCATAAAAGCTCTCTATTGTTGTTGCCTGAAGACCAAAATGCTGGCTTAATGTTGTGTGGAATGCAAATTTGCTTTCTGCAACATATTTGCTTAAAATGAGGTGTTTAACATATTCTTATAGCATAGTTATACAACACCTTATAGGGCAAATTTTTAACTGTTGCATAAACGTTTATACAACTATTTTATACGGCATATTTGCAAGTTAGTCAAAATGGTTGTGTTGTGGCATCCATGGTAACGTTTATAAAACAAACCCGAGCCTTGTTGTTTTGCTGTGTAATTTACTACTTTAGCCAACAAATTGCTCCCAACGGAAGCACTTATACAACTGTTGTTTAGTATCTGTTAAAGACTGTACATATGCTAAATATGTTGGGAAACAACTTCACCATAACCTAACTTTCTGCTGTCATATTTTTATTAAAATGCCATAACCAATGTTTTAAGACAAACAACTCATGCATATTGGTTCAAAAGGTTTTATCAACTGTTCAAACAGAAGATATAGATCTGGTACAAATTCTGGGTAAATCATTCGACTCTGTCGGTATTTCATTTCAGACATTTGTCAAATTGTTGTATAACACCTGCAGGCAACACCAAAATATTCTAATAACCTAAAGACAACATGGACGGTGCCATGATTGTACACAACCACCCGCCATATTGGGCGAACATTTATTCCTCTATTTAATATTAAATAATTATGTTTCAGTTCGAAATTACAGATATAAAGTGATAAAAATTAGTGTAATTGTGTCTAAATATAGGATTTGTGGAAGATTTAACGCAGATAAGTTCAGTTTTCCATCTTAAAAATCTAGACATACTTTTAATCATTGTCAAAATATGAATCAAATACGAAGCCCGTAGAAATTGGGTAACTAATTTGCACGATGATCACAATAAAATTTGCTGCGCAAGTAATTCAATAGCCCTATATCAAAGTGTAGAAGTTTATCATATACCTGTGTATGAAATTCACAATGGCAGATATGTAAGTAAACAAGATGACTGTAATGTGTTAGTTATATATTCTTCATACAATACATAAGAAATAGTTTGGTTGCAATAAAGTAGAATCACGTAACAGAATAGTTGTATAGTTGACAAAAATTGAATCTTGCACTGACGCAAATGTCCTATAGCGGCTGCAAGAGGCTTACACTTTTGTTTTATAATTGTTACCTGCAGGCCTTATACAACCTCTTAAATGACTGAAGTGTAGTATTAGATGTGCCCATTCCGCTTGTATAGCTGTTCTAAGAGGGTTTTGCCAATGTTCTTACAGTATTCAGTGCTGTTTAAGGAATACTGTATAATCATTCTTGCAACTCTAATAGGAGTGATAATTGTTAGTTGGGGCATTACGTGTTCGACAATATTTAGATCTGACGTTTCCAGATCGATGGATTGGTAGAAGAGGTGCCATTGAAAGGCCCCCAAGATCGCCAGATTTATCACTTTTGGATTTCTTTATGTGGGGTCATTTAAAAAGCAAAATCTATGCTACTCAGCCAACATCATTAGAAGGCCTGCCACAAAGAATTGTGAATGAGTGCCTTCAAATTACTCCTCAAATATTGCAAAATGTGCGTCAACGTTTTGAGCAAAATCTTTATTATTGAATGGAGAGTCATGGTGGCCATTTTCAACATTTAAGTACTTGCCTAATGGGTCAGTTCAATCTTCATTTTTAAATTACTTTGCTGCCAAATGTATTGATCTCCACTAATGATGTATTAGTTTTATTTAAGCTTTAAATCAATAAACTGTCAAAACTACTGAACTAAAGTACATTAATTTTATATCATTATAAAGGAAATTGAAAGACCTTTCAAATAAGGTATCACTCGACCCCCCTTTCCATTTAAGATTTTAGGGTTTTTTTCCAAAAAAAAAAAACTGAGCTGCCAGTCAATGCGTCTGTTTCGTTTTCGATGCGCCACCCTGTATATAACGCGTTCCCTGAAACTGTTCGGAACCTCCCACTGGTCGATGTGAGACTTATCAGCAAAGGCATTTTATTCGCTAGCTGAATTTTTTTACTGATATTAGCAACAGCCTGAGTATTTAGGAATAACGAAACGTTGTTGTTGTTGTTTGTTTTTGTCTTAGCTGGATATCTCCTTTCGACTTGTATGAATAGGTTTAAAACGATGGCATTGTAAAGAATTTGTAAAATTTTTAACAATGTTTTGTAGCTAGCTCTAAGCTTATTTTATTGTAACTTGTCTGTTACTTCTAGAACAAATAAAAACTATCTATCTATGCGTGTATGATTTTGAATCAGTAGCGTAGATGTACTTTCTACCCTAGAAATATTGACACGTCTTTCTGAAGCACCCTGTATATCACATATCATATAGTCTTGTGGCATAATGAATATCAAAATAAAATAAGCTATTTTTCTTAGCTGACACTGAAAATACAAACAAGCTACTAGTGTCACAATCTTGTACTTCATACCCCATTTTATCATAATAAAATACTTATGCTATTCACATTCTGCAAATAACACGGTCCTATCTTTGAAAACTTTGCCCCGCACAACATCCTCCAATCCTTCTCCTTCATAAGACAGAAGTGGAGATATCTCGATATCACCGTCAACTTTTCCACCTGCATTTTCAACGTAATTCTTGTGCAGATCGAATAAGTCTCTTCTCACTGTTGAAGGACAGTCTTTCAACGCACTTTCACAATTTTTCAGAGGGCTGAATTCTTCGTGACGGTGAACCTCCCAAGTTACAAACCTATCGATAAGATATAATATGAAGTAAAATGTTGATGGGATAGTCGGGATACATTCCAACAGCCAACCTCATCCAGATTTTTGCCACTATCTCGAATGCGAGGCATTTTTGGATTGAAAGAGCTCTGGATTCGGTTTCAGCGATCCAAAAAACGTATTAAAAGAATGGTTGAGCTCACGTTCCCGACTGACCCATTTTTTTGTAACAATACCATGGTAGCTAAACATTAAAGTGCTTCGAATGAAGTTCAAATGACCTCAATTGTAGGAATCTTGAGTCGCTAAAACCGAATCCGAAGTCGTTTCACATATGAGCCGTCTAACTGCAAACCCCGCCAAATGCAAAAATAACAAAAATTGAGATAGCACTCTCATTCGACAGGAAATGTTGATATCTGCATTATGTAGATATTATTTTCTTAAAATCCGGTAATTACATTACTATCGAGCATCGAGTTCACTTTCAATACATCGCCAATTGCAGATTTGTTTGTTTGCAAAAATCGCTAAGTGCGTGTGACCAATATGACATTCGTATTTTGGTCTCATGACCGCGATTCACAGAATTTCGTGCCATTTCCTGGCATTCTCATCATTGTGGTTAAAAACACTTGATTTTGGCTGCAAAGCCCGTCATTTTTCACATTTATTTTTAGACCCCGCCAACTGCATTTTATTTTTCTTATTTGACGGTGCTCTCTTTGTTGTAATACGATGAATGATATGCATTAAGAAGCAGTATCTACATCAACAAGATATTAAAGTAAATTCATTTTGTGGATAGTATAACGCAAAACAGTTCTCCGCGTGTTCCTTGGAACTGTATGGTTTGCATTTGGCGGGGTTTGCATATAGAAGGCTCATATACCTGATTTCTTTTACAATGTACATACAACTCATATAACATCCAAAAAATATAGTCCTTTTCTCAAAATTTTCGCGATTATTTCCTCGCTAGTAGCGTACGAGTAGAAAGTAAAATGAATTTAGAAATATACGTTTGGAAGGAATTAGCGTCTCGGGTTCTACTACTATATCATAGATGGCGTTATTATATGGTTAGCTATCTCCAAATAGGATCGGTTAATAACCAGATCCTATATACTCGGGAAAACCGGCGAAATGAGGAAAAAAAAGACACCAAAACTAACTGAGGGTGCAGGGATCGAAGTGAGTGCCAGCTACTGCGCATGTGCATTGCATCTGAGGTTATAGTACGAGACAATAGTATAATTTTTATGAATGATAAATAATAGCAGAACCTTTGCCAGGCAACGCTGCTGTAATAGGTGTATATTCTACTATCATTCGTGAAAATCAAGTTTGACAAAAGAAAGGTATCTGCGGATTCAAACGGTATTATGTAAAAAACCTAAAAAAAAACAAGACGAAATGTCATCTTGCAGACTACGTAGTTTTTACTGTACAAATAGTTCATTCCACATTTGCTCGCTATGATCGCTGTTCGCTAACGCTTAAGCAACACGTACAGCTACAAAACAAGTTCACAACAAGTATACATCAGTTAGGTTAACATCTTGTAGCAAAATCTATGTTATTCACAAAAAAACCTAAGAAATGTCAAAAGAAACCGACAAAATGTCACTTTTCAAGAAACGTAATAGCCGTGCGGATCTTATACCCGTTTCACATCAACAATTTCTTCACGAATTTATTCAGATGGATTTCTATTCAAGGTCATCCTGATTATCTGTTGAGGTGTTTCCATCAACGGACAAAATCATGGATTGTCTGTGGATTATCTGTCAGTGCTCAGTGCTGCCAACTACAACAAATTCTTGCTAGAAACATCTTGAGCTTTTATGTCTATCATGATTTTGATTTTAAGGCGAATCTCATAAACAGTACCCATATTGTTGGCACCATGGAATTTGGCGTCCAACTTATCAAAAATTACAATTTGAAGAAAGCCACGAAGAGCTTCATGGATTTTTTTTACTTAAATTCCAGTTTTTCACTTTTGAAATTTGGCCATGAACTCAATTCATGAAGAAATCCGTGGATTTATTGCTAATGTAAAACTGGAATTAGATTAGAAGTGTTCATATGATAGACCTGGCAAAGCTCAGCGTTGCTAGATGGGTCGGATAGAATTTTACTAGAACAAGCACAAAAATCTTTCAGAATTGTTACTTTTTAAAAAACCCCGAAATCACAGTTAATTAATGGAAAGTGATAGGTTTGGTTGAAGAAACGTGTGATATCACCCAAAACTCTATATCCTCAAGAAATTCTCCAAATTAGGTTGAAAATCCCTTGACATGGCAACCCTCCAAGCGTCAAGACTCAATGACGATTTTACGGCACAAACAGCATTGCCGTAGTTTCTCCTGGAATATAGGCTTCATGGACCGGACATTAAAAATACATCAAAACGCATTTTTGAGTTTCTATGCCTACCTGTCAGAAAACCTGAAAACATCGAAAATGAACTTTTCGATTTTGATCCCATTGGGAATTGTTGGCGTTGTCTTAGCACCATTATCATCAATGTACGGTATTTTTTTCTTCGCTGCATGTAGGGGCAGTTCACTCTCGTGTATTTCTGATACTTTTTCCAGGAAGTCGACTGTGAAGAAATGGTTGCAAATATTTCCAGACCTAAAATAAAAAAATGCGTCAGGTAGGTTGACCTTGCTCTTCAATCGCAATGTCGTTATCAGTCCATGAAGGATTCTGTTCAACACAAGCTAAAGTGTATCTAACGAAGCTACAAAGTAATCGTAAACAGTGGTTGATTCGTGATCAACGCGTGATCGGTAGCCATGGCGCTCTGTCGGCCTCTTCCTGATTGGCTTGTAGCGACGAGCCTCCAGACAAAGTCGCACGGTTGCCACGCTCGGCGAGTTTTCGCCAGAGTGGTTGATCACATTCGCATGGATCACAAATCAATCTGTTGGTGCAATACGTGCAATAACTGTTGTAAAGGACATTATATAACAATAAATGGCATCACAAAGGTATATTCCAATTTGATCTGCAGCAAATTATGAACGGCATATACGGAGATGCGAAAACAAGCTCAAAAAGGTGAAGAAAATTTTTGTGCAATCTTTATAGTTAAATTTTTCCTAAGAGATAGCATCAGTGAGGGAATTTTTTTCTATTGTCTTATTTTTCACATTAATGCGATGTCGAGGTATGTGGCCCTATCGCAATTGAAAATAAGGTTTCGATAATCCTTCCATAAAGTTTCGATGAGTACATCTGAAATACCCTTGAGATATTCTTCAGGGAAATACAAAAATCTCCTTTTGTGTTTTTTTGTGCAGATTTATCTATTAAAATCCTATCCGCAATCTATTTTCCGTGCACACACCTTCAACCGAATGTATGCCATATATGATATTACCGTTTCCAACTTTCACCAAGGTTAATAGGAACCATAACAGCTCCCTACCCTTTCCCCCCATAAGAATATCGATTTGTAGCCTCACATTTCAAGGTTAGACTTCTTGTAATGTTTCTGTTCAACATTCGGCGATTTCTGACAATTTTCCCAATAAAACATGATCATTGTGACATTAAGCCTGGCAACGCTGCATAGTAGAGGGAACTCTTCAGCGTCACGTTGATGGTTCGTCACCACGCACAGGATTGTAATCAGTTACGGATACCCGTTTATGAGCGCGAACGTTTTATGCACGTCTTGACTTGATTGTTCTTGCGGAAATTTAATATTAGTCTAAAATGTCTGACACAGATACAGCTGATGAAGTGGTTGAAATCAGCTTAACGCCACCCAGCAAAAGGGCTAAAAAGCTTCATCTTAGCGCAGGTGAAAAACAAATTATTCTAAATATCTACAAGAACCAGATGCAAGAGAATAGTGGATTGGCTATAGAAAATATCGTATGTAAGGTTGCTGAAATTTCTGGAGTAGGTCGATCAAGTGTTTGCAAAATCATGAAGGAATATAGACAAAATCACTCACTATCTGAGCCAAAAACATATCCAGCGAGAAAAAAATCATCGAAAAAATAGATGACTTTGACAAAAGTGCCATTAGAAGAAAAGTACATCACTTTTTCTTCAGGAATGAAATACCTACAATAGATAAAATATTGAAGCAAGTGAATGATGATGAGGATCTGCCAAATTTTAAAAGATCTACGTTCCATAAGCTGTTGAAAGAACTAGACTTTCGATTTTTGAAAAGAGGAAGGAATAGTTTATTGATAGAAAAGGAGGAAATTGTTATCTGGAGGAGAGAATACCTTAGAAAAATTAGGCAATTCCGCGCTGAAGGAAGAAAAATTTATTATTTAGACGAAACATGGGTGAACGCGGGGCATACGCAGGGAAAGGTTTGGGTAGACAGATCTGTGAGGTCCTCAAGGCAGGCTTTTTTAGATGGCCTTTCGACGGGATTGAAAAATCCTGCAGGTAAGTTTCGAAGTATATGAACTTTTTTGGATGCAGATAATTCATTTTCTGATCGAATCAATGATTTGGATGCTCCGAACTCAGTTTTGCTATCTCATCCAAGTTTCTGAGTATTTCCTTCACCCAAAAACTAATCTAAGACCCTATCCTACACTAACCTAAAAAGAGTAAGTTGCTTAATTTCGTCATTTAGTGCGCTCGCTGAGAAGTAAAATAACTAATTACTTTCAGGCAAGAGAAAACGCCTGATCATTTGCCACATAGGTAGCGTAGATGGATTTGTTCCTGAAGCATTGTGGGCATTTGAATCCAAAAGAACTGGAGACTATCACGAAGAAATGGATGGTAACTCATTTGAAAATTGGTTCAAAAAAATTTTGCCGACACTTGATGATAACGCAATTATTGTGATGGATAATGCCCCGTACCACTCCAGAAAATTGGAAAAAATTCCAACAATGGCCACCAAAAAGGCAGACATTCAACAGAGGCTTGTCTCAAAGAAGATCGACTTCGACCAAACAATGGTCAAAGCTGAGCTGATAAATATAGTCAAGCGACATAAGTATAAATATGATTTAAAAATTGTTGACGAAATGGCCAAAAACCAAAATAAAACGATTCTCAGGCTGCCTCCCTATCACTGCGAACTGAATCCTATCGAGTTGATTTGGGCCGACATCAAGCAATACGTGGCGTCAAATAACAGCACTTTTAAGTTTTCTGACCTTAAAAAACTGTTTGATGTTGCTGTCGATAGGATTACGCCAGCAAAATGGAGAACATGTATTGACCATGTCCAAGAGAAGGTTGAAACCAAAATGTGGGATATGGACAATATCATTGACACCCAAGTTGAACCCCTTATAATTGACATCAACAATTCTGATGATTCAAGCTCCTCGGAATACAGCATATAAATCGATTGATACCATTAAGACTGGCAGTTTAACGGGCTTTTTGGCAAGACAGGTAGGTTCATTATAGACTGCAATCAAAGTGTAAGTTTCTAGTTATTAATGTGGAAATTCCAAATTTATAATTACACAAAATTAGGGTTAATTTAGGAGTTCCAAAGCATAATAGTGCCATTTTGACCTTCTTCCTATTTCTCATGTAAATTTTAATAGCAATCAAACTAACAAACTTTATGGAGTCTGTAATAAACTTTTGTACTACTACTACTACGTCTGTAGTTTCTATTTGCTCAAAAAAATTTGCTCTGCATTGTGAATAGAAGGTTGATTTGTAAATATTATTGGGTATATAATATGTAAGTTAATAATAAAATATGAACAATTTCAATTGAGATGGTCCACAAGTTTTTTTCGTGTGCGTTTTAGTAACATTTTGCTGAAATGGTGAATACAGAATTTTTTGCACTGATTCCTAATGTCGAAATATGATTAGAAAGGCGTGGTATATTCCTGATAATTTACTATGCTTTTGATAGAATTTACAGCAACACATATCTTGTACGACATTTTTTGATAGATCAGTCACAATAGCTTGATACGGCCCTGTAGGGTCTCCTACGGTTAAGTTCTTGATCACGTGCAATACGGGTGTATATGTTTGATTTTACTTTGTTTCTTCGATGGATACAGTTTAGACCCTCTGAGAAAAAAGTCAGTCAAATAATTGGTCCATAGACATAGTGCATCTGGCAACATCGCCTTAACCCGGTCCGACGTGGCAGGGCATAGCGTGTAACCACTGTTGCCAGACATGGCTACTTGTAGCCAACTTGGCTCCTTCAAAGGGGTTACTGGCTACAAAAAAACAACGAATTTAACTATTGGCCACCAGTTTGACTACTTCCGATAATAAGCTGCACACAGAACATTTACAGAGTGCACGCTTTTGTAAGTAAAAGTTATATTAAATTTGTGTTTTTGTGGAGGCTATATTTTCTGTACTCTACCGTGAGATAGTATCAGTCGTCAATAGCTCTCCATATAGATGTGAGTAATCGACTGTCAAAGGCTGTAACTTGACTGCATTGTAAGTTGTCTCACTCGCAATAATGCGAGTAACACCATACCAAAACAACAGAACTCATCAAGGCCGGCAGCGTGTGGCCGGGAGCAGCAGTCGCGGCCGGTAGGTTCGCGATTCGTTTGCTGAGAATATTTCAAGGGTACGAAGAAATCTATGATGTGTGTAACATGTCTAATAGGTGCGTAGGTTGGGAGCGTATGAATATACTATCATCAAAAAATGTATACAAACCCTCTCTACCCGCCTACAACCCCCACCACCAAGTTTTTTATCTCTAATTTTTTTCATAAATGATCACGATCCTCTGAAACGTCTAAAAACGAGGTTTGAGCGATTTTCATCCTTACTATGGGGTTGTCCAAAACGGACGCAGGAAAGTAAACGCATATTAAAACAAGAAAGATTGATATTCAAATCAAGTTGGGTACTTTATTTTGAAGGTTCTATGGCATTTATCTCGGCTATGATGTTGTTTTTGAGTTCTTGGAAGGTGGCTGGTTTGTTGACGTAGACTTTGCTTTTCAAATATCCCCATAAAAGGAAGTCCTAGCGAGTCAAATCGCACGATCTTGGTGGCCATGGCACATTTCCTCTGCGCGAAATCACGCGATCACCGAAGAAGTACTGCAATCGATGGATATTGACGTTGGTTGTGTGGCATGTTGCACCGTCTTGTTAGAAATAAACATCGTCCATATCCATTCCTTCAAGTTGCGGCAAAAAATAGTCCTCTATCATCACGTGATATCGCTCAGAATTGACGGTAACGGCGTCCCCGGCCGCATTTTCGAAAAAGTAAGGTCCGATGATGCCTTTTGACCACAAAGAACACCACACAGTCACTTTTTGAGGATGCATCGGCTGCTCTTGATACTCACGGGGATTTTCGTTCGCCCAGATGCGGCAGTTTTGCTTGTTTACCGTCCCATTCAAAGTGAAATGCGCTTCGTCGCTGAACATGATTTTTGATGAAAAATTGGCATCAATTTGGCGGTGTTCAAGGAGCCAATCTGAGAACGTTCGGCGCGAAAAATGGTCGGCCCGATGCAGCTCTTGCGTCATTTGGATCTTGTAGGCGTGTACATTCAAATCCTTGTGGACAGTGCGGAGCAAACTGGTTCTCGAAATGCCCAATTCTTGGGATCGACGCGTTGTTGATTGTTTCGGATCGTCTCTCACACTCTCCTTCACAACAGCAATAGTTTCCGGTGTGCGAACGCTCCTTGGCCGGCCAGAGCCTGGCAGATTTGCCACAGAACCTGTTGCCTCGAATTTACGCACCAGACGACCGATGGTTGTTTCGTTTGGGCGGTTGTTGCGACCGAAATGTTCACGAAGCGCGCGAAACGTGTTTTTTATTTTTGCACCATTTTTGTAGAGCTCTTAAATAACTTTAATGCGGTCTTCAATCGAATACGACTCCATGGCGATCAATGGTAAACATTCAACTAACAAAATGACATGTCGGTGACAGAAAACAAAGATTGCGTCTATGTCAAATTGACGTTTACTTTCCTGCATCTCTATTGGACAACCCTTTACAACGCGTTTGCGTCATTGGCATAGTAGTAACATTGTGTTAAAATTTCAGCGAAAAAACATATGTAAATGGCAAGCTATCAATGTTTTTACCTGTATACTAAATTGCCATCGTTGTCTCTTAAATTTGCAGTTTCTTGACTAATTTCGCTGTACTCAATCACTTGGAAGGTCCCTTCAATTTCACATACTACCCCAATGGGCTCCGATGGTATCTCTTTTTTTATCACTTTAGCCCCACAATCGGCATTCTTTGTGATGCAGTACCTAAAACATTATTTACGTAGTAAGTGGACATCTATGACCCGCGTCGTAAAATTAGGGTCCAACGCGCGAAGCGAAGAACAAATTAGTAAGGAGTTTGATACTCTGAATCATATCTAAATATTTGACATTTTGGTCCTGAAATGGATAGATTGTTATCTAAATGAACGACACGAATATGTCGTGATACAAAAAAACATTCAGAAAAAATGCTTGTTTGTTCCGGCGTGCCTCAGGGATCCATATTAGGGCCTCTCCTGTTCCTCGCATACTGGTTTTGATATCGCTCGCTAACTCTCTTCAACAGTGTTCAAGTCAATCTTATGCTGATGATATTCAAGTTTTCAATCACTCTCCGAACAACTACACCACATGGCTAACAACCTTATTAATCTAAAAATACAATGTGTTTGTACATACGCCACAAAGCACAATTTGCGACTTAACGCATCTAAACCGACAGCTTTACTTTTTTGCACAAAGAAAAAGCGTTCTTTCCTCAAATCAAAATTAAACATATCCATCAATAATACCTTACATTTTCCAATTACGCAAAGAATTTAGGTTATACGAGCAATCCGATCCACAGCTTTAGTGATGTCAGCACTCTACACGCAGGAATTCAGATTTACTGCCGGTGAGATGGAGAAAAAAGTCTAGCGGCGACTTCCTCTCTCTCTCAATCTGTTATAGTTTAATGTTTCCAAAACACAAAAAATGAATTCAGGCAATAGTACTTGCTCTACCTACCCTAAAAATACTGGATCAGCCACTTTGACTAGAATGTTATCAACACAATATGCATGTATATATCTAACGCCTCGGTTCTTCATATCATCAATGATTTTGTGTTTCTTCAATGCTAGATACAATCCTCCATTACCATCTGGTGCTAGAGCAACTGTATCCTTTTCTTGCAGCAGAATATTTCCGTCAAAGTCGAAACAAGGCAACAAACCTTGTTTGAAAAATATCACATTTTCTTCTTCCAAACCGAAAAATTCGTGTTTTTCGAAATAGTCGACGGTGTCGTTGTGCGTGGCTTCGCTTGTCATAATGTACCAGAAGATTTTGCCTCGTTTGGAATGCTTTTGTTCTGCTAGCGATATGACTTTTCGTATCCGTTCCGCTTGGATTTGATAGAGGGTTTTACCAGAGGGCAGATCCAAAGGGAATATACCTGGAGAAATATGTTAAATGAATTAATAATAATTTCACTATGAAACTATGGTGTCAAGGTATGACAAAAAATACACTAATGGAAAATATTAATGGATCAATTAAAAATTGTAAGTTATTAGTATGTCAGTAAAAATTGTCGTATTGGGATCCTGTGCGCAAAATAGCACGTGGGTCAAATTCAACCAATGAGAAGGCGTTTTTGAAGTGATCGCTCTAATGAAGATGGTCGATTTCTTGTAAAATGTCTCTCAAAGCAGAGAAAAATTATACGGTTTGTGTAAGACAGGCTTCTACGAGAATTCTCATATTAAATCAAGAAACATGTTATAGATCACTCTTTTTTCCATTTGCGTTGGACACTAAATTACCGGCATGGTCATAATGCTAAAATGAAAAATAAGAATTTGCGCCATATTCGAAGCATGGACACAAATCTGATACTATATCCAGATTGATATGAGAGCATTTAAATATGCATTTGATTGAATATAACACTGTGTCACTGTTGCTGTGCAAAATTCTGATGATAAATTTTTTGAGGACGTCAGTGGTGTATAGTTCGGGAACGAACTAGTTCAATAGAACGATTCTTACGATTGAACTAAGTGAACTAGATCATCGCGATTCCTATTGAGCGGGCCGTGGCAAATGCTTGTTTCGGAAGTTGTATCCAGTACAACTTATTTCAGTTCAACTGATTGTACACGCGTTAAGGAATACCCTAGTACCGATTGCCGGGTGGCGGTACAAGTTCGCCAACGGGCCACTTCAGGTCACATCATTAACACGTTAAACGAAGGTGGTAGACAAGGACCAGTCGACCGAGGCGGTACCACCCGCTAGCTTTTCCCAAGGTGTCTTATAAATTTCCGCATGCTTCCACAACCAATCTACGCAGTCGGTTATCTTACCCAACAAAGAAATTGATGATGATGGATCCCTCGAGTACTAAGAATTCCGGACATAAACTCACTCCACTCTCGGAATGTCCGAGGGAACAACATCGAAGATGAAATTTGTTTCACGAACATCTGCGGGATTAACAGTAACATTGATGCTGTTCATCTCTACTTGCTGTCCAATGGTCCTGTCATGCTTTTCTTGGCGGATACAAAAATCTCGGAGTCTGCACCGATTAACCATCTTAGCCTCCCAAATTACGAGATGCACTCCAATCTGAGCAGCACATCAGTCTTTCAACCCCAATCATCCCCCAAATATATTTGCTGTCTTTATCGCTCTCTCTCGGACCATAACTGGGATGACGTACTTGAATATCTGGCCGTCAAGATCGACTTCCTGAACATCAATCACCCCGCTCCAGAAGTAGTCCTCCTCGGTGATTTCAATGCCCATAATGAGCTTTGGTTGGGCTCAAACAAGACCGATGCAGCAGGTCGTGCAGTTGAAGCGTTTGCTCTTACTCAAGGGCTGACCCAGCTGGTGACGAGCCCTACTTTTTCCCCGCGTCTCGTCACATTCTAGTAGCCTGTTGGATCTCTTTCTGACCACGCATCCTGACCCTTACGGCCCTGCTGTCCTATCCCCCCTAGGTAACTCAGACCACGGTGCTGTGGAGGTTAGGTTTCGGTCAGAACCCGCTGTGGGAGCAGAAACACGCCCAGGGAGAGACTTGAATGGAATATCTAATGGAACTCAGTCGCGTTCAGTGATGAGTTCAGATTCTGTTTGGGCACACATGATGGCCGTGCAAGAGTAAGGAGGAGACGTGGTGAAAGACGGGACAGAACGTGCAATATTCTATCAAACGGCATATTCATCGCACTGTGGGTATACACCAAGAAGACATCAATCACCTAATCAAATCCATGCCGCTTCAACACATTACTAACATTAAGGTGAGATATCTCAGCTAACCTGCGAAATATCGAGTTAAAATTTTAATCACTTTCTATTTATTAGTAGACCTAAAACATATAAAAGTATGCTCAAAACTACAGCACTCCTAGTCGGTGTTGCATTTTCTGTCATCATGTAGGATATTCTGCAATACCTAACATCTGCTTACAATAACAATATTGATACAGGGTGTTCGTAGCACACTATGGTATAACTGGTTGCCTAGAAGTTAAACATTGTGTTAGACTACACAATTTCTTGAACAAAATCTTGAATGAAAAATTATTTCCTGTCTAAAAATGCTTTTTTTTATACTCCAACTACCACGAAGGCCTAAGGCCTAAGGACCCATTAGGTACCGTGGGGCTATAGGGGGATACATGGGAAAGGGGGGGACGCCACACGGACTCTGGCGAGGGAACACGTGTGCATGCAACATGCACACATTCTGGCTCCGCCTACGAGAACCGCCGGGTGGTACCTCCGCGTTCGACAGTCAGAGACCATCTACCACCTACGAAACCATCTACCACCTACGAGACCATCTACCACCTACACCTGCTTTACATTCAAGCAATTTATTGTTCATGAAATAGTTTGGGATTCCGCGCATTAAGGGCCGTAACATCAGTCGTTCCTACAATATTGTAGGACCCCTTTATGGCCTTCTCGATTTTAATAGTTTTCTACTGTTCCGTGCCAGCGCTCTATTTTGGGGTTTCATTACAAATATCTGCTTGCATCAAATTGTTCATGCTTTTGAGTTATATCATATGTTACATCAGCCTGATATTTCCTACAATTCAAAAAGAAAACAGCCTCAAGATAAGAGAGTGCTGACGCTGATACGAACCAGTAGAAATCTAGAAATACCCCAGCCTTTCTGAAGGAGAGAAAATAATATCAAAATCAAGGAGGCCCAAAAGGCGTTGTACAATTTGTAGAACGACGAACGACTGACGATACGACCCTAAGGCCCGTATCGTCAGTCGTCCCTACAATTGTAGGGCGCGTTTATGGCCTCCTTGATTGTCATACTTCTTTCTCTCCTTCAAAAATTTCAAGATATGTTTTCTTTTTAAATTGTAGGAAATTTCAGGCTGATAAAACATGCTATAACTCAAAAGCAATCACAATTTGATGCAAATAGATGTTTGTGACATAACCTCAAAATAGAGCGCTGACACGGAGAAGTAGAAAACTATGACAATCAAGGAGGCCGTAAAGGCGCCCTACAATTGTAGGGACGACTGACGATACGAGCCTAAAATCAAATCCAAGCGAATAACCACAATTTCTGTGTTATGTGTTATGTGCCGCGGTTATAATATGGTTGAAGATGACACACGGGTTGATGACGTCAGTTACACGAATCGCTTGAACGCGTTGGTTTTAACCGCGGTTTTGTTGCAAGTTGTTTATTTTAGAGAAGCGCGTATATAATCTCTGATTATTTTTATTATCACTTAATAATCGGTGCTTTTTCGACTACAACTGTATATGGAAAGTTTAAATAAGAAACCTTTCATAATATTCATGGGAGAAATGTTTTTTCAGATTTTTTTTTTAATGATGGAACCATGGCTTTGTAGCTATGATAACTCTCAATTCTCTTAATTTTTCCGCATGTCAAATAAAACATTTATTGATTCAGCAGAAATGGTGAAAAAAGAAACCGTATACAGGTGGATATCATCTAGTGAGTTTATATGGCCATATTTTAATATTCTTGTGGTATATGGCTACACAGGATACTTTGTTAAGCATAGGAACTACATTTGAAGTGTCCCAAACAACCGTAATGAGTATAACTAATAAGGTGCTCCACTTTATGGTAAAACTGAAGTCAGCCTGTATCATTTTTCTCAAAAATGAAGCTGAAGTACAATAACAATATCCAATACCCGGCAAAATTCTAACTTGTCACATTTCAAATAATAACCAGAAATACAAAACTACTCTTGAGTTGGGTAAATACCACAATTTTGCGGTGATAACTATGACATATAACAGCTGATTCGTGACGTCACAGATCTTATAACCAAACTGATAACTACACTCGCTTGAACGGATTGGTAAATACCAACCCAAAATGGTAAATACCATTTCCATTTGGTTATCCGCTTGAAATTGATTTAAGATTCTGTCTGTCAAGATTCAATTTGCAAATGTCAAAGTTTTCAGTGTCACTCACAAAGTGTCACCGGGTTGTCAAAAATTAAAAACAAAATGCGATTTCAAGTTGACAAAAATAGTTTTCTTAACTTTGTGCTATTAATTGATAAAAGACGAGGAATGTTGAACATGTTGAGAGAAGAACTATTGCCCAACTAGGACCCAAACAGATATAAAAACTTTTTAAGAATGTACAATGAATGTTTTAATAAATTGTTGCGAATGATTCTACCTGATATTGCGATATTGAGACAATGTATAACTGCAGAAAAAATGTGATGGTATCAGCATTGTTTCCTGTGGAAAAAAATTATGACGGCTTTGCCTCTAGGTTGGTTGTAACATTTAGCTATGCTACCAGCATACATGAAAGAACCATAAGTCTCAGTGTGCAAGAGGTCTATGAGGCAATAATTTCAAATTGAATAAAAACATACATAAAGGTAACATACATGGGAGCATCATGTATCGTTACATAACTATTATATATTTTTTAGCTCCCAAGTAGTGCTGAAGGATGGAAAAAAGTAGCAGATGAGAGCTACATCATGTGGAATTCTCATTTGTGCTTAGGAGCTTTAGATGGCAAACATGTTGATTTTGCGGCTCCCAAAAGTGCAGGCTTTTTTATTATAATTATAAAGGAAGAAACAACATAGCCCTCCTAGGACTGGTAGAGGCCAACTATAAATTTTTGTACGATGATGTAGGTGTAAAATGGCAGGGTTAGTGATGATCGTGTTTTTAGAGAAATCAGTGTCAAAAAGGCAATTGACGGAAGCATTCTGAACTTTCCAGAAGATTCATTTCTGCCAAACAGTGATATCAAGATTCCATATGTGATGGTCTGTGATGATGCCTTCCAACTGGCTTATCCTCAACATGTATTATTCAATGAAAAACGAATTTTCAACTATTATCTATCTAGAACAAGATGAACAGTTGAGAATGCTTTTAAAATCTTGGAATAATAAATTTAGATCCATAAAAAGGTTGAGACAATAACACTTGTGCTCTGCATAATTTTCTCACAACACATTATACAGAAATGGATAATGAAAGCTATAACTTAGATCATCTTTTTCAACAAGAACGAACAAGATATGATTGTGAAGCTGTTGAAATTAGAAACCTGGTATTCAGATATTTCAGTACTACTGGAGAAGTATCTTTTCAAAATAGGGTTATAGGAGTTTGAAGAATAAAGTACATAAATTTTGTCTTTTTTTATTGCATCTCTTAACAATTTCTGTATCTCTAAATAAACATCTTGCTTAATATCCTCATTCATTATTTTTTTTAATTGTGCTGCCACAAACTGGCTCATGAGATGGTCTGCTGTGGCCGTGGTAGCAGTTCCGCCTTTCTGCAGAGCTGCAAACAGACTGCCAAGGCTAGCAGAGACATCTTTGAGCACCCGAATATCAGATGCCTCTTTTCCTCTATTCTTTTGGGTGTGCTGCTACCGCTTCTTGCAGATGATGGTGCTTCGTTGTGGCTGTCACTTGAGCATGGCCCTTGTAGGGTGTCAGGGTTTTCAGAAAGACCACTTACACGTATTTCTGTGATTGGTGATAAGATCCAATAATCTTGCTCGCTGGACCAAGACATCCTTAAATGAATATCAGTTATTAAAATGATAGGATCGAGTTGTAGATAATATTTTCTTACCTGATTAAAAAGAAAGCTGATATTAACGAAAATCAAAAATTCACTACCCAAACGCCGACGCGCACAACTAAACAAACAAGTAAGGTTAGGTATAATCTTGGGAGCTTGGGACGCTACAACTGCGAATAATTTGATCGAAAAATCGAATATGATATGTTCCATATTCCAAACAACTTCTTGTTCAATTTAAGCTTTTCAACCAATTTGCTGTATGATACGACACAATACAATTATGTTGAACAAGAAATTGAAACAAGTCTTCTACAAGAAATTGTGTACGAGGGATGTCTTTTAAGTTTTGCATATAGAAACATAGGAAGCCGCGCGGATCGAACGTCAGTACTGAATCTTAACCTCACTCTTTAGTAAATTTAAATTCAAAGTTTCACAACAATGTTGTTCTCACTACAGTGAATTTCTAAGTGTCACCAAGTCATTAGAAAAATGGAACTCATTTTCGCGCCATAATTTATTACAACTTTCAGAGACAATTATCGCATCAAGAATGCCTTGCTGAGTTACTGTCTGTTTTCGGAAACGAAGCGCCACATCAGTCGACAATTTCCCGTAGGTATGGAGAATTCAAACGTGGACGGGTGAGTCTTAGCGACGATCCCAGGGTGGGTGCACCAAAACCATAGACATGTGACATATCGCGAGATTGAGGCGTTCTTGGAGATCTCAAAGACCTCAATTCAAAAAATTGTACATGAAGAATTAGGAGTAAGAAAATTAGTTTCTCGTTGGATACCCTACGTGTTGACTAAAGAGCAGAAAGCAGCCAGGGTTAATTGGTGTCAAAAACGCTTGACCGCTTCAATGTCGGAAACTCAAAAAATGTGTACAGCATTGTTAGTGGTGATGAATCGTGGATTTACTGTTATGAACCAGAAAATAAACGACAGTCGGCTGTTTGGGTGTTACAAGGTGAAGAATAGCCAACAAAAGTCATCCGTTCTCGAAGTGTTTCGAAAAAGATGGTCGCGTCATTTGTGTCAAAAGCGGGTCATATTGCAACAATTCCTCTTAATGAGCAAAGAACAGTTACTGCGGATTGGTATACCACCATTTGTTTACCAAAAGTCATCACCGAGCTACGAAAAATCAACCCCGAAAAATGAATCATCCTCCACCAAGACAATGCAAGCTCGCACACAGCCCAAAAAACAAGGCAGTATTAAATTTAAGGGAAGAAAACGTGGAATTATTGGACCATCCTCCATATAGTCCTGATCTAAGGCCTAACGATTTCTTTACTTTCCCGAAAATTAAAAACAGACTGCGTGGTCAAAGGTCCAGTCACCAGAAGAAGCAGTTGACGCATTCAAAAATGCCGTTTTGGATCTGCCAGCAAACGAGTGGAATAAGTGCTTCGAGAATTGGTTCGAGCGCATGCAGATGTGTATTAATCTTCGTGGAGAATACTTCGAAAAACAATAAAGTCATTTAAACCTAACTACCGTGTTGTTTTGTTTCCATATGCAAAACTTAAAAAGACATGCCTCGTATACATACATATAATATGACAATAAAAAGAAAACACAAATACACCGAAATTTCACAAAGGAAGTAGACGAGATCTGGAGATCATTTTGGGGCAAATAGAGAAAACAGAACTTAATGCTAAACAAGAGGATCATTCTCCCGAAAGGAGAACATCTGGCAACCCTGATCAGGGGTATGTATTATTTATCAAAAATCTTGGGAACTGGTGAAAATAAAAAATTAAAATTACTTGAGATTGTTATTATAGACTTTGTAGTACTGGTATAGACTTTGTAGGATTTGAAAATATCCTAGTATGTAGTATTTATGTCGAAATTATTTATATAAGTAAATGTCATGAATGCGGGTGCAATATTGTTTTATTATTAGAAATAAAAGTACAATTAGATTAGATAGTGAAGTGCAGGCATAAGATCTGCTAGAGCACAGTTATAATATATGTACATCATTCAGTAAAATGTAATTTGTTTATTAAATTCCAAATAATATTGAAATATCCTTTTGAATCTAAATAAAATAATTCAGTAAAACTAGGCAAACACTTTTACCTGAATTAATTAAGCAAATTTAATAGATTTAATTAAATTATTTTGCTTGGAGCAGGTAAACTCATTGTAATAGTTCACTAATTTTAAATAAATTGGTATAATCAATTTAACTAAGCAGTTTCATAAACTTAATTAAACGATTGATTGCCTTTTGGTTTTATTAAATTAGTTTCATAGATTCACGTAAACTTTTTTAGAAATCGAAGTTTAATTAAACTATATAAACTTGTTAGCTGTCACATAGTTAATTAATTTTTTTTAAATGGCCTCATTAAAACTTTAACTGGTTTAATTAAATTTTTTTCTCAGTGTAAACACTTCCTCCATTATGAATTTATTTTGAAGCTTTTCCATAAATTAAGAGACATTAATACTCCGTCGCTGTTTTTGGACAAACGTATTGTTTTATCATTGGTTCACACAAACTAGAACTAGATAATATCAAAATGTCATTTTAAGATTACAGGAAAGTTTCATAGGTAATTGTTATTTAAGCTGTGACTACTCACTACCAACTTGCTTACCTTTTGGATACGTCACGCCTAACCTCGTCCCTTGCCCTCCAGCCAATAGCAACACACCCACACTACCCTCGGCAATAGCTTTCAACCCTTTATCTCTATATTCTCTCACAACCCCATCACTAACACAAGTTACAGAATCAAACTGCTTGTCAGGCACCGGTCTCATCTTTGCCTCAAGCCCGGTTCTGTTCTCTGCCAAACAGCTGACGGCCTGGTCGAATGCCCTTACAGCGTAGGGGAAATCTATACTAGACACATTTTGAATGAAATTGAGCTTCTCTTCTTCGGTTAGTTCCTTCCAGAATCTCAGTAAATGATACTGTTTTGCTTCACTTAACACTTTCTTGATTTCATCTAAGGAACACATATTTGCTTGGTTATCACACCGGTACACTGTGTACAATTATTAGGTACATTATGTTTCTATAACACTGTTGATAAAGATAAGCACATCTTCCCACTTGTGAAGTTGTTGACCTATTTCGAGCTTGCTGTTTGAGCTGATATAATATACAATATGTGTTATTTTTTTATCATTATTTACAAGTGCTTGAGTTGAAGCTACGTGGAAGGCGAGTGGTCGATGACGAAACGGGAAATCAGGGTTGCCAGGTGGATCAAACAGAATACCCCCAAAACACTGACAAAAATCCCCCAGATTTGCAACTTTATTTAAAAAAAATCCCCCAAATCATATTTCAGCAGATTTCAATAGCGAGTGTTAGAGGCTGGACTAGTTGGAAGATCACGGGCGGGAAGAATGTATAAAATGAAAAATAATATATTTTTCCAACGAATTGAGTATTTTTCAAGCTTATGAGAAAAACTTGTTTCTTGAGCCACGATTGCCCATGGTCATAAAACGATATACGCATTCGCTGACACTTCGCCATTTGGGGAAGGAGAGGAAAATCTAGAATGATATAAAGGCTCCTACAATTGTAGAAACGACTGACGATACAGCCCTAAATCAGGGCCAGTGGGACTCTGTGTCACATGGAATTCCATCAATTGATTCAATTCCATACGACTGGCACTCCGTGTGCAAAAATAGTCGCATGAAAGTGTAAGTTAATGATAGGAAAGGAAATAAAGTTACACGATTCTCTGGGTTTCACATAGATGAGAAACACTTATTTAATCGCGCCATCTAACGCACAAAAACAAAATAATATTTTGCCGCTATTGAAGGAAACTGTAATGTAGGTGCTTCAGAATAATTTTAATAGTTGTTGAAAGATGGCAGGATTATCTGTAAATGAATTTATATTTATTCAAAGTTGTTCTCGAATTCCAATAATTCAATTGAAACTTGAAAATTGGTCGGACGACAGAATGTCTTCTTAAAATCGCACCCCAAAAAAACCCCAAAACGGAATAATTTTCCCCCAAAAAATCCCCCACGCATTGTATACCCCCAAAAATTCCCCCAAGCAATGAAAAATACCCCAAATTTGGGGGAAAATCCCCCAATCTGGTAACCCTGCGGGAAATCCGTTCATTGCGCAGTTATAAACAGTGTCGGATTCAGGACTATGAAATTAAGATGCAGTCAAATATTTGGGATTTTCTAACGGTCTTTGCACGTAATAGTGTGTTGCCTGAAAATTGTAATATAGAAATTAAATGAGCTATACCAAACAGTTCGTGATGTACAGGGTGGCCAACTAAGAATTCGAGGTACTGTATCTGCGAACCTATCCATCGTAGAGGCTTGCGACAAAAAAGGTTCTTACTGAAACGACCAAGAGAAAAACCTGAAAAATATTTTCAAGTTTCTGAAAATATCGCTAAAAGGTGTAGGATACGAACGAGATGATAATAATTGAATATAAGGATAAACGTGAAAACCACAAACCCATCTTAGAAGGTTTCGAAGTACCACCTTGTACCATTCAATTTTTACTACAAGGGTAGTACGCAAATAATTTGATATAGGCAACAATGTCAGGATAATATTAAACCCACTTACTTGGTCACGGATCGACAACGAGTTATCCTCCTTTGGCAAGCGATAAGGGCGATATGATCGGATTGTCGGGGCCAATACCTTTTATTCAACCGAATCATAAAATACCTTAGGATTACGTTAATTGTTCGCAGTGGTGCCAATTCATGATTATTTGTTTATGATTTATTACATACTGGTCCGCAGACCCTAAGAGCAGGGGCACACAGCCCCCTGGGATACACAGTCCCTGTGACACATAGTCCCTGAGACACACAGTCCCTGGGATACACAGTCCCTGTGACACACAGTCCCTGGGACACCCAGACCCTGGGACACACAGTCCCTCAAGGACACACAATCCTTCACTTAGACAATTTTAAGCACACAGCAGCTTATATGTTCAACATAGCTTTAAGCACACAGCAACCTATGTTAATACCAGGCGTATAGACAGATATGCGATTGTTACCAAAAGCAGTCCAGGATCCAGGATATCACGTTGACCAACGGCCATGGTGTCAATATCCAAAGGCACCTCTTAATTAGAGGTAACCGAGCAAGATTATAATCTTTAGAATAACAATCCCTACACACATCTTGTCCTAGGATACATTCAGACGCCAGTAGTATAGTATAGATCACATCAGTCATTTAGATCGCTATAAACACCTGAATATCTCACACAAGACTTGAAGATAATTTAAAGCAGTAGCGTTCACTTCGATATCGGAAAGAATCGCGTCCGTGGAACTGTTGGTGGTGCACTCTGGAGCAGCAGAGTGGTTTTTAACCATTTTGACCCATATATTCTGTGACATTTGTGTCAGAAATTGTAAAAGTCGCACGAGTTAGTATCCGCAGGGCGCTAAGAACAAAGCAGTAGGATATACCTAGGCTGAAGGCAAGAAAAAGAACATTATAGAAGAAAAAACAGTACCGCATTTGATATGAGTCAAGGTGTAAGAAAGAAAAATAAAAATCAAAATCATTCAGAAGGAGAGGAAGAAAAGAAAAAAGAAGGAAAAGCAATACAATGTAACAGTAATAAGGAGGGGGTATTATTAAATGCCATCATAAAAGCAAATGAAAAAATCATCCTATCCAAAGATGAAATAATTCTGGCAAAAGACATAATAATACTGTATGAAAAAATTGCCACAATCAGTTGCAGAACCAATGGTAAGATAGAAGAAAACACTGATCAAGATATTTGTATCAACAGAACAGTAGCTTTGAAACCGTCATATAGTTCAGTGGTGAAAAAGGGAAATATAAGTGCTAACAGCATTATTATAAAACCAAAAGAAGTACAAGTCATGCAAACAAAAAAAGATATCCTGAAAGTTTTAAAACCTGCTGAGTTGAATGTGAAACTTACAGGAGTAAAACAATCCGAAAATGAAACATTAAAAATTTCGTGTGCAGATGAAGGTGGTGTTCAGAAAATAAACGAGGTAATCAATAAACAACTGAGCAGCTCGTACAGTGTGAACATCGTAAGTAGTCAACAAAAACCTAAGATTAAGATAGTAGGTATAGAACAGATGTTTGAAAATACAGAACTTGTTAACATTATAAAACAAGAGAACATGTTTATTGACAGGGATGCATATATAAATGTAGTTAAAACAAAGCAAATGAAAACACGATATTTTGCCATTATAGAATGTGACCCCAAAACCTTTCATAGTATCATGGAAAACGGAATATTATGTATTAATTTAACAATATGCTCAGTAATATGAACACATTAATTTGTTAAGATGCTACAATTGTAGCGGCTTCAACCACACTGCTAATAAATGTACCGGAGAGATGTTCTGTTTAAAATGCGGCGAGACAGGACATAAAGCAGATATATGCACGAAATCAAATATATCTTGCCCAAATTGCTTGGAACTTAATAATAAATTTAAGTTGAATTTAAAGATTGATCATTCTGCTTTTGACAAAGTAAATTGCACAGTAATGAGGAAGAAGCTTGAAACAGCAAGAAGCAACATAAATTACTCTATATAGCAATCAAAGGACAACTCAGAAAATTCATCGAAGAGTCCAATCATTCCTCACAGTGAAGGCGTCACGAAAAATTGTAGCACGCTAAACGTAGCACATGTGAATATTCGATCACTTATTCCTAGCTTTGATATGTTTTCAGACGTTATACTAGAGCAGAGCCTTCATATTATAGCACTAACAGAGACTTGGCTTACACATGATTTTCCTTCGGATTTAATTACTCTGCCAAATTACCAGCTGATTAGAAATGACAGAGAAGAAAAGCAGGTGGAGTATGTTTTTACATCCAGACCAACATAAAATTTAAAGTCGTAGATTGTAACAACATTTATTCAAATGGCATTGAACAAATGTGGTTATCGCTAAAACTCAATAATAAGACCATTGCGATAGCTGTTATCTATAGACCGCCATCTATTGCATTAAGTCTACTTTCTAGCCTTGAGAATGACCTAAAAGTTATACCTCACCGTTAAGTCTTCCAATCCCAGTAAAAAAATTTTTCAAACCATGGCATTATTCAATCTCGTTCAGGTTATTAATGAACCCACAAGAATTACCAAGAATTCAGCTACAATGATTGATGTAATTTTTGTATCAAATACATTGCATGTGCGCAAGAGTGGCACTATAGGCATGGGAGATATAACTGATCACAGGTTATGCTTCTGTGAATTGAAGATTGAAATTCCAGAATACACTCCTACAACATTTTATTGTCGTGACTCTTCCCACTTTAATTATGATGAATTTGCTGAGGATGCAACTGCTGTGAACTGGCATGATATAAATAATCTACAAAGTCTTGATGATAAAGTCCTCCATCTTACTGAGAACATCACCTTGCTGTATGACATACATGCTCCAATGAAAAGAATTACACCTCATAAGTTCTACAGGCCGTACGTCACCTATACAATAAAATGTATAATAAATTTAAAACGAAAAGCTTACAATAAATTTAAAAGAACTAGATCTGAAACAGATCGATTGTTTTATAACGATCTTAGAAATTACTCAGGTGTGGCTTTAAGGAATGAAAAAACAGCTTATATAAAATATCAACTAAATAAGAACAGGAATAATCCCAAGTAACTATGGAAACACTTCGCTAAATGGAATATTCATAAAAAATCCACTAATCAGATATCTCAGGGCATTGAAGACGCAGAAGCCATCAACAATCACTTTGTGAACTCGTTGCCAACCATTCAACCTGATGAGTTATTTCTTAACACTTTATCTGGGCAGAAAAAGTCACTCGTAACTAAAAGTTCGTTCCATCTAGTTACATCTGATGATATTGAAAAGAAACTGAGAGAAGTGAAATCAAATGCTGCTGGTATAGATGGTATTACCACAAGCATGCTGAAAAATGTATTTTCTTTTTGCAAAAGTGAAATAACGAATATCATAAATCAATCCCTGAACACAGGAGAAGTACCAACATTATAGAAGAAATCAGTTGTAACGCCACTAGCAAAAGTCAATAACGCTATACAGATGAAGGATTTGAGACCAGTAAGCACCTTACCTGTGATGTCCAAGCTTGCAGAGAAAGTGGTAGCTGACCAACTTCGTGACCATCTAGAATTCAGATTCAGAAAACTACACAACACATCCACAGCGCATATAAAAGTAACTAGCGATATAGTCAAGTTCATGGATGATGGTATGGTGGCCGTATTGATGATGTTAGATTACAGTAAGG